AACGACATCGTTTAATAGGTATGGAATTTATTGGCGACGAATTACGTTCGTCACAAAAAAAATTATATTTTGTGACAAAAATGTTCGTCGCCAATGAGCTAAAATAATTCGCGCCAATGCAAATGAAATTAGCGCCTCATTTTTGCACACAAAATTTTGTTTTCGTCACCTATACTTTTGAGAAAAATTAAAACAAACGACAAAATTAATATTTCGTCATCTTTGGCTTAAATTTTAAGACAAAAAAAAATTCGTCACCAAATTTTGTCACAATAGCCTAGATTTCTTATATTTTTTTATTGATTTTAAGCATTTGGTGACGAAATTTGGTTTTCCTCTCTAAAAATAATACATTTGGAGACGAAATTATTTCCTCTCTAAATTTTTTTACAATGGTGACGACAAATTTCATCTCCAAAATGGCGCCAAATCTTCCACCAAATTTTCCAAGGGTGGGAAATTGTTTTGTGACGAAAAATAAAATTTAGAGACGAATAAAATTTTCGTCACCTATTGTTTTATTTGATTTTAAGCATTTGGTGACGAAATTTGATTTTCGTCTCTAAAAATAGTACACTTGGAGGCGAAATCTTATTTTCATCACTAAACACATGTATATTTGGAGACGAACTATTTTTTCGTCACGCGTTTTTGTCACCATAGACTTTTTTTGTTGTAGTGTGAATTGATTGGCTACTTAGATTCAGACTTTAAATGATATATTGATAGTAGAAAATTAACTTTTGGTTCTTTGTTTCTTTTATGTGGAGGAGCAATATTAAGAAAAGTGTAAAATGAACTATCATAAGTATCTTCTATGAAAATTGAATTTGTGGTGTGCTTTGAGATCACAATTCATGAATTGTTATTGCGAACCTTTATCTTAGGACTTGGGATTGTCGATTTTTGTTACCAAGTCGTTGAGAATTTATTGTGATAATTTCGCAATTGTTTTATTTTCTTAGAATGACAAGTATTCTAATGATGCTAAACATATAAAATTGAAATACTTTGTCGTTGAAGAAGAATTTCAGAAACAGAAAATGTCAATAAAACACGTAAGTACATAAATTTTAAGTGCAGATCTATTGATGAAAGGATTACTCTTAAAGGAAATTAAGAAACTTGCCAATTGGGTCTTGAATGTAATCCATAACAGTTGTTTATGATTGATTGTGTTTGTTGACATATTGAGATCTCATTAATTGTGTTTCTGATATATTTCCTGTTATGAAATGAGTACGTACATATATGGGAATGAATTAATGATGACAGGAATAGTCTTTCACAAAAAACATTATTGCTGGACCTCTTTATACTCTTCACTTAAAGGTCTATGTTAAACTAGTTGATAGTGCTGTAATACATAGAAGGGATTATGTCGCACTATTAGTGTAGAACCGCCATGACTCACATTAGTGAACTATTTAATTATAGTGTTATGATGATAACTAATTTAAATGTAATATTGAATATGATTTATTGCGTGCCTATTGTTAATCTTGTTAAATCTTGATGTAAGTTCTCATATAAGCTAAGTGGGAGAATATAAGACTGAATTATTTATTTAGTTATTATATTGACCCACATTATATGGTAATATGAATTAGAGATTTGACAGGATTATGATTCCACATTTTTGCTACAATTAATTGGTAAATAAAGAAGAATATTTTCCAAATATCCTACTTTGATGGGAAAGTGGAATCATTGTTGAATAAGGAAACTGGTCCTCTCTCTACCTATAAAAGGACATTTAGAATACTCATCAAATTAATTTTGAATTCAATGTATTCTAAAGAGGGTCAAGAGAGAGAAACTCTTTTCCACTAATATTATTATTAGGTTTATGTTCAATCAATTTTGGGTCATTCAAAGATTTCGCATAACTGATTCGGGTATGTTATTATTTGTGAAAATCATGATAGTTCACGATTTTGGATTATGAAGGTTGTTATATGCATAACACCATAAAATTATTTACAGAGAGAAAAATTTGAGCAATGGATTTCGGCAACATTGGCATTTTTTTAAAATTAAAATTTTGAATTTTACCTACCTATTGTTTTATTAAATATTTTTTTCAATTTTTTTACATAAATTTAATATAAAGTTTTTAAATAGATAGACAAAATTTATATCATTAATTTATTAAAAAAAAACATCAACATGACGAACATAGACTACTCAAATTGGAATTTCAATTCATATTTCTTATGAAATTAATAAAATAATAACAAATGAAATTATAAATAAATAAATACGATCCTCAACCTACATTATTGATGATGAAATCAGCAAAAGAAAAAATCATTAAAAGTTCTTTGTTTCGTACCACTTTGATAGTACGAAGAAAAAGAAAAAAACATGATTCCAAAGCAAGAAAAAAGGAAGACAAATAAAGATTTAAAATTGTAGGGACAGAATCTCTTTTTTTCACCGCCCATTCTAGAGCTAAACCAGCAAAAAATAAAATAAATAAATAAATTCAACTTTGAAATCTTTGTTGCATGAACCAACCCAACAAACATCCATCTGAGTTTGGAAAAACGTGGTATATGTATAAATGCAAAGAGACCATTCCTCCATAAAGATCTTCAAAAGTCCACAATTAAATTTAACTTGATATATATGCTCCTTTTTTACACCAAGTTTAACTATCAAAAAACAAGATTTAATCAAACCTCACAGATAGAAAATATTTTCTCATTCTTACTTAGTCTCACTGAACCCGGGTCACAAGTTGCTAAGTACTTGAAAAAATTCAAAAAAATATCCCAAATAAATGAAACGTACGGTGAAAATGCAAATTTGGCGTGAAATGGGCCCAGATAGACTGATCCAATCCATACATAGCATTTTCTGAACACTTTTTTGAATGAAAAATGTTACATATAATAATATTTCTTATCGTATTTTCTCATCTCTAAACACAGTAAGTGGGTCTCAAGTGCATTTATGAGTGAGAAAATAAGGTAACAAATGAGATTACATGTAACATTACTTTTTTTTTTGTTTTTGTTTTCTGAATATATAGCATTGTTGATTCTAATACAGCCAAGGGGGGGTTTCAATTCAATTGAAGTGTTGTTGTTCCAACCATGGCCAAAACCCAGATTGATCATCAATGGCACAAAACATGTTGGAAAAGCTTTCTTCTTTGACAGCATTTTGATGATCAATGATCTTGTGGTCAGGTTGTCTTGATGAAGAAGAAGAGTTTAGGAAGAGGTGGGCCATGGCAGCAGAAGTGGGCCTGGTGATGATGGAGGGTGGAAAGAGGGGTCTGCTGCTGCTTGTTGGAATAATTGGATGGCCATGATGATGGTTTGATGAAGGGCTGTCCATGGCTGGTGGGGTCCTTGTTGAGATGTCTAGCTTGATCTCTGAGCTGTTTTCACTTCTGTTGCTGCTTGAACCCTCTGTCTCTTTGTTTAGGTTTATTGATTCTGTTGGCTCTCTGTTTTTAAGTGCTATTATCTGCATTCATTTGATTCAAAATCAACAAGTTTGTTGTTTAGATAGGAAAAATCAAGAAGTTTTGGATACATAAAAACTGATTATAGCATCAGACATAAAATATATATGGAATAAAATGCAATAGTTCATGAAAATTTATTTTGAATATTATTCTAAAAGTGAGTGCGTGATGTAAATTTAAAATTGATGGAATGTGGATCACACACTCACAATAGATGTAGACCATTGAATTTTTTTTTTTTCTTGTGTGATTTTCTAAAGTAAATCTTCCGGATTTGTAGCATTACTATATATGGAAAGGCAATTTTTTTAAAGGGTGGGCCTCATCAGCGAATTTTATAAAATTTTATTTCATTAATGCATGTTTTATGCTCTTTTCTGTGTTTGCAACAGAATGGAATGAAAATCAACAACTCTATGGGTGAGTTTAGTATAGTCTTTTACTTTTGAAAACAGAAAATAGAAGTTGACTTAGGAAATTTGCTTGCCAACTGTTTTTGAAAATTGAAGTTTTTTGAAAAAAGCTTATTTGAAATGTTTTTTAAATTTTCAAAGTTACTTTCACAAAAGAATGAAAACAATTGGTGTTTTTGAACTACTCATTGTTTTTGTTTCTGAAAACTTGAAAAACAGAAACTACACCCAAAATGACGACCATAATCACGGCTATCTAAAGTGATTCAAATTGAATTTTTTTTTTTTTTTTTCCTTCTTAATCAATCCACCCAAAAAAAGAAAAAGAAAAGAAAAGTCACTTACTCAATTGGCAATAAAGAAGGGGAATTTTGTCCAAACTAAAATCTAACAGTTATCAACACAAGCATCTTCCCAAAGCATCAAAATAATTTTGGAATCAATTCCCTTTGGTTTTGTTTTCAAAATTATTATTTTTTAAAAAAAAAATGATCTGAAAACTTTGTTTGGCAATTTCTAAAAGCACCCGTCTTTTAGAAAAACACTTCCAAAAGCTTTTCCAAATTTTCAATAGCTGTTTTCAAACAAAAACAAAAACATTAAGTGTTTCTGAACTCCTCATTATTTTTGTTTCCGAAAACACAAAAAACAAAAATTTCAAAAACCATACCTCAGCTTGAAGTTTCTGGTTCTGAGATTGGAGAGCATCATTATCAGCCTTGATAGCATCAAACTGTCTCTTAAGAACATCATAGTCTTTCTCTAACTGCTTTGTCTTCCACCTAGCCCTCCTGTTCTGAAACCATATAGCTATTTGTCTTGGTTGCAGCCCAAGAGCCCTTGCCAGCTGCATTTTCCTCTCAGGTTCAAGCTTGTTTCCCAATTCAAAGTTCTTCTCAAGTGTTTTCACTTGTTCCAAGTTCAGTCTCCTCTTCTTCTCGCCAGCTTGTGACCCATCATCTGATAAGTCATCTTCAACCCCATTGGTTTCATGATCACACACTTCAATGGCTGAAAATGACATAGATCTCTTCCCCAGAAGTGATGCAACACCTGCCAATTGCCACCACCATTAAAAAATTCAAATCCTATATATATCAACTGTATTGGGATACATATTAGTAGTTATCAGCTCATATGTATCAACTGATATATCGATGAGTAACATTTTTGGAAGTTCAAAGTCTCAATATTCATTCCCCCCAGTTGGTCGAGTGTTTTTATTCCCGTTGGCCTTATTGGAAAGTTGAGGGTTCCCCTCCTTTTTCCGAGCTTGGGAGTTGAAACTATCATATCAACAGTATCAATTAATACATCAATGAATAATAGCATCAGAAGTCCAAAATCCCGATACGTAAAAACCTTTTATCATGATTTTAAATAATAAAAAAAAAAATAGATTATATATTAGTATTATCGGCAAATATGAAACATTATCAGCTTATATCGGATATCAGAAGTCTAAAATTCCAATTTGATGATGTATTTGGCCGATATTCAAATCTCTGATATCTATGGTTATATGGTATATATATAGATCAGTAAACACAGATAGAGGGAGTAGTACCATGGAAGTCTTGAGAAGTGCAAGGGGGTAGAATTGGACCGAGAGAGGTTGGAGGTTGATGATGATGATGATGCCCATCTTCATGAGGAGTTTGAAGCATGAAATTGGATTGAAAGAATGCCATTCCAATGCAGGTCATGACCTTGGTATGGCCACCAATCTGAAAAACTGTGGTGCCGAAAAAAAATGATCTGAAAACTTTGTTTGGCAATTTCTAAAAGCACCCGTCTTTTAGAAAAACACTTCCAAAAGCTTTTCCAAATTTTCAACAGCTGTTTTCAAACAAAAACAAAAACAATAAGTGTTTCTGAACTCCTCATTATTTTTGTTTCCGAAAACACAAAAAACAAAAATTTCAAAAACCATACCTCAGCTTGAAGTTTCTGGTTCTGAGATTGGAGAGCATCATTATCAGCCTTGATAGCATCAAACTGTCTCTTAAGAACATCATAGTCTTTCTCTAACTGCTTTGTCTTCCACCTAGCCCTCCTGTTCTGAAACCATATAGCTATTTGTCTTGGTTGCAGCCCAAGAGCCCTTGCCAGCTGCATTTTCCTCTCAGGTTCAAGCTTGTTTCCCAACTCAAAGTTCTTCTCAAGTGTTTTCACTTGTTCCAAGTTCAGTCTCCTCTTCTTCTCGCCAGCTTGTGACCCATCATCTGATAAGTCATCTTCAACCCCATTGGTTTCATGATCACACACTTCAATGGCTGAAAATGACATAGATCTCTTCCCCAGAAGTGATGCAACACCTGCCAATTTCCACCACCATTAAAAAATTCAAATCCTATATATATCAACTGTATCGGGATACATATCAGTATATATCAGCTCATATGCATCAACTGATATATCGATGAGTAACATTTTTGGAAGTTCAAAGTCTCAATATTCATTCCCCCCCAGTTGGTCGAGTGTTTTTATTCCCGTTGGCCTTATTGGAAAGTTGAGGGTTCCCCTCCTTTTTCCGAGCTTGGGAGTTGAAACTATCATATCAACAGTATCAATTAATACATCAATGAATAATAGCATCAGAAGTCCAAAATCCCGATACGTAAAAACCTTTTATCATGATTTTAAATAATAAAAAAAAAAATAGATTATATATTAGTATTATCGGCAAATATGAAACATTATCAGCTTATATCGGATATCAGAAGTCTAAAATTCCAATTTGATGATGTATTTGGCCGATATTCAAATCTCTGATATCTATGGTTATATGGTATATATATAGATCAGTAAACACAGATAGAGGGAGTAGTACCATGGAAGTCTTGAGAAGTGCAAGGGGGTAGAATTGGACCGAGAGAGGTTGGAGGTTGATGATGATGATGATGCCCATCTTCATGAGGAGTTTGAAGCATGAAATTGGATTGAAAGAATGCCATTCCAATGCAGGTCATGACCTTGGTATGGCCACCAATCTGAAAAACTGTGGTGCCGATGATCTGCTTGTCATGTTGAGAGGAGGGGGGGATTTTGGTGCGGAAGAAGGAAGGAGAGGCTTAATATATCACATAGGTTTTTGTTTTGTCATAACATGAAAAAAATGAGAATTTCTTGAATTGGGAAGGGGGAGCATTCATTGCTGTATGATGGATAGCTTATATACCTTATCAGATCCAAGTTTTTATTATATATATATATATATATATTTCTGTCTGAGAGAGAGAGAGAGAGGGAGAGAGAGAGAGGTCGCTTTCTCTTCATATATGGGCTCGGATTTTATGTAACTTGTACTTTTATTTTTATGGTTTATAATATATATTTTGTAGTTTCTTCCCATCAAATTCAGACTACTTTCATAATTTAAATTTTTTTTTGGCCTTGTGACAAAGATGGGTATATTTTCTAAGTGGAGAATTCTCCTCAGATTTTTATATAGAAAATTTATCGATAATTGTGATTGAGTGGTGAATGATATAGTATCATTGACTCATTAGTTAAGTTGGCAATTTCGTTGGGAAAACGGTCTTTGTAATTTTTATTTGATTTGATTGTTGAGTTATTGTATATGTTTTGTTAATTTTAGACATTAATTAATCTACATCAAGAAGTTTTGCAAGCATCGGAAGGTACAAGTGAGTTCAATAATGCAAGGTACAAGTCTCTAATGCTGCAAAGCTAAAAAGGACAAAATTGACATTATGCCAAAAGCGCTCTCGATCAAGGGAACTCACTCTATACACACACTTAATGAAGAAAGTATGTAAAAAATATAGTGAGGAAGATGTGTAAAAAGTGTATATTGTGTGTGTAAATAGGAAGCTCCCCGAGCAAGGCTACACTAGAATGAACAAATTGTTTGGGCACTCAGGGAGGTTTTTGTGATCTCTATTGCAAGATATATAATGCATTAATTCAATACTCCATTGTCTATTAAAGACGTAGATTGTAAAAATCAAACAGTACACAAAACACACTCACAAATTTGTGAATTCGACACTAGGAAATTATTTGTAAGTTGCAATTTGTATTTTGATTTGATGTATTTTACAAAAATCATAAACAGTAGTAATGGATTTTAGTTTGAAATTAAAAAATTAAAAATCATATCATTTTATATGAGAACTATATAAAAATAATAGTAAAATTTTATTCATAAACATATTAGACTTAGGAAGGAGAAGCAAGCTCTTGTTGCATGGCTTGATTCCTTCACTAATAAAAGGAGAGAGAATGGGATCATATTATAATTTATATGCTTTTCAAGTGACAAGTGTCTTTGAAGAGAAAAGCAATGGGCACTCATTTTAAAAACCTAGCTATATAAATAAATTAGAGACATCAAATGGGTGGGGTGTTTTGAGGAGAGCTTAAAGAGGTGTTATTTTATTATCCGTTGTTTTAGTTTTGGGACTAAGAGGTTTCTTAAGAAAATAAAAAAATGAGTTGGCTTATTCTTTGGTGTAATTGTGCTACGAATATAAAAATTAAACACAGAATAAAGCATATAATACATATAAATAGAAAATATTTTATAAAATTTGTTAAATTAACTTTTGAAAAATCTAATACATCTATATATATATGTATATATTATGTGTTTAATTGTATGATTATTAATTCATTTATTGAACTTAAAGATTTTGAAGAGAGAGATAGAGAAAGAAGAGGAGCAGGAATCTAGGTATGGGTCCATTGAGGGGGCAGGGGTTGCCACCTAACCCACCAACATGTATCATGCACCAGGAGGAAGTCCTTTCCCATCCATTATCCCCTCAGCAAAAGGTGTGAGATTTTTTAAAAATTAAGTTTATAAACACAAAATTTAATTATAAAATTGGTATATATATATATATATAAATAGTTAATATTTTTAAAAAATAGGTTTCACTAACAAATCTTAAAGAATCTTGTTAATTCATATATATAATTTGTGTCTTAATCTATTATTAATTTTTGTAAACTGGTTTTTGAAATACCTAAACACTTTTTTTTTTCTTTGGTAACCCTACCAAGCTGGTTTATTTTGTCTTTGTGCCCGCATATAGTGTCCATCCTTATCGTATTGCACCCCTCTCTGCTGCCACACCACCCAAATATGGCCCCCTTGACATGTCTCTTCCTCCCTCTCTTTCCTCTCTCCTTCCTTCTCACGACTCACTCTCTCTCTCTCTCTCTTCACGTCCTAACTCTTTTCAAGTTCCAAAGGAAATCTATTCATAAGCAATGATGTGTAGAAAGGTTTCTATTTGGGATGAATTAATAATGTTGTATATTTTTAATCTTCAGTAAAAAAAAAAAAAAAAAAAAGCTATGACATCCAACAAAAAAAAAAAAAAAAAAAATTGATTTTCTCTTTAATAGACTTTTTTTTTCCAAAAGAATATTTATTTGTACTTTCCAAATCCGTGTAATCTAATAGAATATAAAAATGTATATTTTTAATTTTTTTAATGCACTAAAAATGGAAAAATTAATGAAAAACTATTAAAAAGTAATTGTCAAACTCTAAAAATGAATAAGTATCGAGCATGGTATAACAATATTAGGGATATAAACTATGGATCTCCAATAACTTGGTTTCAATGCCATGTTAGATAACTAATTATCTCTGAATCTTAACATGTGAATCACTTGTCTCGTTTCATTTAAATCTTATTGGTTCATAAAATCACAATTGTTGACATGAAAAATCTCATAAACTGATGATTTTAATTCACAAGGAAATAAACCCAAGAATGTAAATCAATTTAAAGTTACAAAACTCCAAAGAAAGACATAGGACCCATGGAAAGATTTAAGCATCCAAATCAATTGTTTAGAACTTGTTTAACTTAAGACAGATATGGAGATAATTCAATGGTTTGGTAATTATATGATCATCATCAGTGTATCAATATTGAGATATTGAGCATATCTAAAACTTGAAAAGGTTTGATTTTGACAATTGCTGATGACAATTGTAAGGTAATGTAATCCAATCAATATAGCTTTTGTTAACGTCAATGCACAATGCCTAGTTATAACTACAATAGACAGATTAGACATCTCTTTAACCCTAATTACACTAATTTATTTATGGAAAATGACTTATACCCCCAGCTGGGGGTGCTGGGGTCATCCCTGATTGGTGTAAAAATAGTTTTTTTTTTTTAGATTTCAGCCAGCCACACGCTGCCACGTCACTAGAGGTGCCACTGGGGTCGGAAGCAATGCCCTTTATTTATTTTTGATTTTATGGGTATTGTGATTTAATTATCTTGTTTGGTTTATTTTTTTTAAAAAAAATCGAGAGGACTTGTTTGATGAACTATTTTTGAGAAAAATCTTAATAAAACAACTCATTTTTTAGAAAAACATGAAAAAAATTGTTTTTGAATTTTTAAAAACTATTTTTTTTTATATAAAATGAAAAATAGGAGTGTTTTCAAATTCTTTAACATTTTTGTTTATTATGAAAACAAAAACGATACCAAATAGGTTAATCCTTTCATTTCCTGTTTTCATTTTTATTTTTTTGAATTTCAGAAACGAAAAACTTTGTTTGGTAATTTTTTTCATTAACAAAAGTTAAAACTGATTCCAAATGTAAAATTTGTAAACACAAAATGGGATATTGACAATTTATATAGTTGTTAATATCTTATCAATTTAATTTTTAATTGATTCCAAATTTAAGAGAATAGACTGTCAATGTTTTTCTATATAAAAAAAAAATATAATCAAATTATATATTTTTTATTACAAATATTAAAAACCAAATAATTGAAAAGATCCACAATCCATGAACTGAATCCTCCAATCTAATTCCTGAACTTGAGGCAAGTTCCATTCTAGTTTTGATGGGGGAAGCCTAGGTCAAATAGGGATGCATCATCATCTACCATCCAAAGGAATAATGGACCCCCCTATCTATATACTGGTGATGATAGGGTGGTTTGGGTCCCTGGTTTTTATAAATTATTTTGAGAAGTTAGTTAAAGTTGATTTTTAAATTTTTTTAAAACTATATAAAAAAATAAAAAAATAATATGACCTAAAATATATTAAAAATTAATTTTAACTTTTAACCATTTTTTCAAAGAATATTGGCTAAAGGACAAGCTTCTCTCACTCCATCACATGATTTATTAGTTGGAAGCTGATGGGGGTTACCCACTGGAATAATGTGGATCCATGTTCTTAGCCTCTTTTGCGTGCTAATCTTACTATTATTATATGATATATATATATATATGTATAGGATGGTGATTCTCTCTGTATTTCACTCGTCAATCCGTGCATAGATCATTCATAATAAAATTTAAATTAATCTAATAATTATAATTATACTTAGGCCAAGTTTGGAAACACCCCAAAAAGTCAAAAAGTCAAAAAGTTACTCAAAAAGTTAAAAAGTTATCACTATTCACCAAAAATCAACAATTACGGTTGCACAACTCCTATATATATATTTTTATAAAAAGTCAAAAAATTATTAAAATAATTTATTTCCAAACCAGACCTTACTATCAATTTTTTTAAAAATAAATCTAATAAAATTATCTCTCTACGACTATTGAAATAACTTGATTTCTTTCATTAACGATATATCATAAGGGTAGATAAGATAAATGATTTAAATTACTAGAGCGGGAACTGTAGTTGGATTTACTAGCCCAACTGTGTAGTTCAGTCCACTAATGCGGATAAAGAGAAGTCACCTTCTATATATATATATATATATCAAACTGAGCCAATGAGATGGTGTTGTTGGGTCATTGTGAGTCCACTGTAGACTCACCTTAATAATTTAATCCGTTCAATTTGTAAAAATTTCCGAGCAAATCATTCATGAAAAAATCAAATTGATCGGACACATTAAACACATAAATAGATTATATTTGTATTTAAAATAATGAATGGTCTAACCTGGAAATTATGCTTGTCGTCTTTTATTTTATAACAAATGTGATTTAGTTAGATAGTCACAATTATCTAATTAATTTAATTTTTCCATAAATAATCTACTCAAACAACACTATTATCTGAATAGTAGTTCTGATCCTTGTTGTGAGTCTCACGATCAACCTACCTACTGAAGCCCAACGACAACTCGAGTTAAAGTTTAACTGGAGATAAGCCTCAACCATATCAAAAAAATATTAAAAGAAATAGCTGAATCTTCTCATCCACACATGCCTTCATGTTTCTGGTGAGTTCAGCTTACAAACTGATCATCCCATGTTCCTTCTGTGCTTGACGTCACTCTCTCTCTGTCTCTCTCATCTCTCTCCATCTGTTGATGGTGATTCTTCAACCACTAGTTCTGCTATGATTTATTTAAATATTTTTTTAGCTGGATTTGTTTGATATATTCTATTTGAAGTGGGTCAATTAATTAATCAGATATTTTATTAAAATTTTAAAAATTATGTGAAGTTGTTTTCTTTCTTTATTTTTGTCGATCAACGGAAGCTTCACTTTTAACTTGTTCAGTGCCTCAGCTTCAACTCGTGTGATTTTAAAATGAACCTTAATGTTACAATTGACTATTTTTTTTCACTAATAAACATAGGTGGCGTTTGAGAAGTAGGTTGACTTTTTAACTTTTTTTATTATTTTAGCCTAGAACTAAAAAGTCTGATTTGAGAATGACTTTTAGTTTTTTTAACTTTTTTGACTTTTTTGTAAGAAAAAGAATATAATGATTACAGGTTGGATGTGATGTTTTTTCTTATTAGGTTAAAAAATCTATTTTGTTTTTTATTGTTATTTTAGCCAAAAAAAACCCTAAAAGCCTCTTCCCAAACAGAGGCATAGAAACCAAGAGATTTGCCAAAATTTAGCAAAGACTTCTCTAACATAATCTCCGATAATGTGTTGATCATGTTGTCAATTTAGAGCATTTCACCGATTATAGCCAATTTAGCAAAGCCAAAATTATTCTTTTTTGGCTATCTACAGTGTCAGTTTGTTATTTATTTATTTTGACAATATTGTTCCTCTGGTACTAGAGTCATTTTTAGACACGACAACCTTTTCCTCTTTTGCAACCATTAGGTTATCTCACCGTAATTAAAGTCGTTGAACATCCTATAGAGTTGATGTGGCAGATCTTGCTTTGCCAAAATTTGTATCAAATTTGACAAAAGATTTGAAATATCTATAATTTGGCTATGTATTTGACAAATTGGAGTTAAAGTTTCCAGACAATTAGCCAAAAATTGAGATGCACTATTCAAAATGGCCAAAAATTGAGATGAACTATTCAAAACGGTGATTAGTAAAGATTAGTCCCACAATAGTGAAGTTAAAATCTTCAATTTTGACAAATTGAAGCTCCCAGAGGTCTATCATTCTGCTGCCAAATTATAGCATTACAAACTTCATTTGGCATTGGCTAATATAGCCAATTTTTTTGTGTTGTGACTTTTTTAATCTGACTTTTTTAGCCTCGTTTAATTTAAAATTTTTAATTTTTTTTGACTTTCATAAGAGAAAAAGTGTAATGATTATTGATTGAATATGATATTTTGTCTTATTAACTTAGTCTGTTTTATCATTATGTGCTTTTTTGGCTCCAAAATGATTGTCAAACCAAGGCTAAATTTTTTACCAAACAGCAAGATTTTATCTCAACCTTTCTCATGATTGGTTCACAAATGACATTTATTTAACATTGTGCTAAAAACACTTGCAGATTAGAGATGCTTCTGTTGTGAGCTTGGTGTTTAACCTCCAGGACCTAAATGTTTGCCTCCCCCATTGTTTGTTCACTTGGTTGTAATAATTTGGTATTCACACTAATTAAAGGGAAAATATTTTCGCATTGCTTTACAGTTAGTATAGTGAAAGATGAAAACCAACCAAAAAAAAAAAAATTTTTGCTTTCCTTAATCAATAAAAAACAAATTTGTTTGGGCAAAAAATATTTAGTTTTAAAAAGTAAAAACGTTTTCTATACATCTTTTTTTATCAAACACATTTTACCACCACTACCATCACTTCCACCACCAACACCACCACCTCCATCACACCCTCCCTTCTCACACACCCACCCACTAATACAAATACTAATACATTAATTTCAAAAATGCAACCATATAAGAAAATATTTTCTATGAATTTTAAATATATATGCTCGCTTTGTGTCAAATTAGCCCTTATTCTCTCTCTTTCAATTTGTCTATTTGGATACAATCCTCTTAAAGAACAGAAAGTAAATTATATGTATATATATATATATATATATATATTTCCAATAATAAAACATAAAAATGTGTATTAACATGTGGAAGTAGCATGTCTTGACCCATGTAAAGAAAATCAGATAATCCAATTTAACTGACCCGACCAGACCAAACTGGCCTGTTTTGGTCTCTTTTAGCCACAACTATATACTCATTTAAATTAAATAAATTTATATCACTTTTTTTCACTGTTCCATCTACAAATCTTCATTAAGCAAAGACCTACCACCATCAAGTGCAAATACCAACACTCCACAAACTACTAATTCTAAACTCACAATGGTTTGTCCTGTGATTAGTTTTATTTTTTTTTTTTTGGCTTTTAATGAATTTTTTTAAAGATTTTCGAAAAGCTTTACACTTCTAGGTTTTACAAGATAATATATATATATATATAGGAAAAAAATTCACCAAATACCAAAAATAAAACCCAAAAAAAAAAAGAGCCGACTTTTTTGGAATCTCTTTTTGGAATATTTTACACAAACCTTGATCGTCTCCTGTATCAGCAGTCAACTCAGCTGTAACATAGAAGGGAACACAAGAAGTAACCTGCAAGTTGCAGACAAAAACAAATTATGTGGGAAGAACTCAAAGAACATGGACACATGGCAGCACTCTTGACACAATATCATGAAGAATTTGTAAATACATGAGGTGTGTGTGTGGGAACCAACAACGCAGCACACTACCTTGCAGCAAGAATAGAGATATATTACAGAAAGAGGCAAGCTGAGACGAGCGAAAACAACCAAGGAGACAATCTTGATTGCTCTGTTTCCTCCAATCACATGAATCCCTTTGGAATACTGTCTCACAGAAACGACACTAATTATTTCAAACAATAAAATTGCTAATTGCCCAAACAAGTCTTGTATCCATAACACATTGGCTCAATGAAGAACGAGCTAATGCCAAGGACAACATATCCAAAACAATGTACTAGTTTAAATATACTAGCAGTGTGTGCACACACGATGCACATGCAAAAATATGTAGTTTATGAATAAAGAAGATGAATAGAAACCATCCATATTTATGTGAATTTTAAAATTTTGAATGAGCTTGATTTTCTCGCATGGTAGTTCTCAAATTCATCAATTGTTGTGGGAATTTTGGAAAATCACAAAAGCATGACCAAATGTTCACACCAAATGACCTATACACTTTCTAATAGTACTAGAAGTGTCGTGGGTGTGATTGAAGAGAGTCGCGTCTACTAAATAGCAGTTATTGGTTTAGTGATTTTACTTTTTGGTCTTTATAGTAACTAGTAGGCGAGACAAATATTTGGGGAAAATATAGTATTGTTGGGGTTTTTTGGGAATCAAAATTGTGCGACAAAGTTGTTCATACCTAGTGAGTGGTGTGCCTTATATGATAGTATAGAAGTATAGATGAAAGGGGAAAAACAAAAAAGAACAAAGAGCAGAAGAAAACACATGGCACAATAAGATCAACATAATTATGAAACACAAATAAAATCCTTGTCATTGCATAAACTTTCCATTGCCAATGATAAATATCGAGGAAAAGTAAAATTCATGATGCACAATACGAGTTCTTACTGAATTCAATAGAAAATCAAATGTTGCTGCTCTGGCTCCTTTGATCATAAGTTTGAACTCGAGAGACATCCCCTTTTGGGTCTCGAAGATAAGCTTCTCTCCCCATCCATTCCGTATCAAAAGGAAAAAGGGAAACCACGCCAACTGCATGAAGGAAAGAAATTGCTATAACATCGGAAAAGGGAGAAAATAAAAACTTAAAACAGCAATAAATACATAGAAAATAATCACTCAAAAGATAATTGGCCCAATGCTAACATGACAAGACACCACATAGCTGGGAAGCAAGTTGTGATGCACAACAATTAGGCACTTACCCAGGTAAGAGCCAGAACAATCAGCCACTGAATGCATGGATGGTGGTAAATGCATTAAGCTTGTCAACAAATTGACCAAGACTGCACCGGGGCTATCGTTGAAAGTTTCACTTTGATCTTCCTCGGTTTTTGATTCTGGATTCTTTCCATGTGATAACTAATCTCAGACTTGTTCCCCAATGGATTGTCATCTTACATGTCTGTCAGTGTAAGATTTTGAAAGGACATAGAGTAGAGCATGTGCTGAGGATTTCCAAAAGATGGAGCTGTCTTTGTGTTAATGGAAACTCCATCGCAAACTAGAGTGTTCACAAGCATGAATATAATATGGTAAACAATGTGAATCTGGAAGACTAATGTTTCTTATTCAAAGCATTTGATGGTCAAAAAAAAAAAAAAAACTTAGAGATCATCTCATAATTAATATGTGATCATACAACAAAAAAGAAATTTTCAGTGGCTTGCTAATCTAACCTGATGTAAAACCCTTATACATATACATCATTGTGGACTTCCAATTTTGCTTACCTTTATACATCCTTGTGGACTTCCAAAAGCCCGAAAAGGAAATATATATCTATATATATATTGAACTACTAATACTAGCTCTGTTTTCAATCCAAATGATTTACACTTTTCTCGATATGCTTCGCATAAGATGGACCTCACCAAATTAGCAGTAGTTTTCATCAGGTGTGCTTCACTTCCATCGTTGTTTAAAGACATTCATTTTATTCAAGTTACGAGATACAAACACTTCCGATCAAGAATTAAAACTTATCTTCAACTAGACCAAAATACCATATTAGCATCCAATTGATCAAAAAATGGGTAAACATGAAAACAGAACAAGTTAATAATTACACCCCACTTAAATCATTGTCCTTTTTCACAAAATGAGGGAAACATAAATAAATTAGGCCAACTAACTAAAATTGTGTTTCACGTCTTGTACAGTGGTTAGTGGACAAAATGTCAAGATTCAAAATTTAATCTCTTTCCTTCCTAGATTCCCTCCAAAAATAGCTTTGGAGTCCAATATGCTCCGCAAAAACAAAACAAACAAATAATTAAACCAGTTAAGCATTGAATTTCAAACCCAGAAAGTTTGGCAAAGCATACCATCACACAATTTGCAAATGCAAACACACACACACACACACATATATTACCAAATCTTATTGAGCTAGTCCAGATGTTCATGTTAGTCGAGAGGTTAGTGGACAACTAACTAAAATTGTGTTTCAAGTCTTGTACAGTGGTTAGTGGACAAAATGTTAAGATTCAAAATTTAATCTCTTTCCTTCCTACATTCCCTCCAAAAATAGCTTTGGAGTCCAATATGCTCCGTAAAAACAAAACAAAACAAACAAATAATTAAACCAGTTAAGCATTGAGCTAGTCCAGATGTTCATGTTAGTCTCTCTCTTCTAATTATAAATATTTCAATATTTATGGTAACTAATATCCAAAATCAACACATGAACAATTTTACACAGGACACAAACCAGAATACTAACAATTACGGCATTGAGAGAGAAAGAGAGAGAGTGGCTCTCAATGGAAACCTTGGATTTATCATCCAGCTCCAGCTTTACCCTATGATGATGAGGAGGAGGAGGAACTTCGTGTAGCCCCGCCAATTTCGATTCCGAAGCCAATTACACTTTCTCTGACTTGCGTTGTTCATTGTTCATCGCTAGAAATCCAGATCTAGGGTTTCGAAATGCAGAACCAGAGAGAGACAGAGAAGTAGAGAGAGAAAATGATCGAATTTAGGCGGGCGTAGGGTTGAGTTTTGTGGGAGATTATCAGTAAACGTTGATGGAAATCTACCACAAATTTCCGTACAATTCAAGTTTTAGAGCACCTCCGAGGGTGCATTATTTTTTTTTATTAAATTTGAATAAAAAATAACTTATTTTATCAATTTGATATGGTTTGTTCTAATGGTACGCATCAAAGGAAGGGACGTTTGGCGGGTCAATCGGTAAGGCTAAAAAATATTTTTTTTACCTTTTTGAATTTGTTTGAACCTACCTAGTTGAACTGTTTGAATATGTTTCCGGTCGACCGGTGGGTCGACTGGTCGGACGTCCGGCAAGTTGACCGGTGGGCCCACTTACAACGCTACAGTATAGTGAATTGGTAAAGGCTCACGCAGATTTTCAATTTGGTGAAAAATTTACTCTGTTCTCAGTTTGATATCAGTTTGTGAAACCATTAGAGCAGAAAAAGTGACTTTTTTAATCAATTTAAAATTTGACACTGAATCTGATGCAACGTTGGAGATGGCCTTAAGTAATGGTGTATACACCAAACTAGGGTATTAACTAGTGTTTTAATTGATAAATTAATATAGTTTAAGATATTTTTTATATTTGTAATTTGTATAATAAGTATAGTCACTAATAAGATCATAACTAGTATTGGTATATTAATTAGTAACTTAATTGGTACATGTAGCACCACTCTTTATATATATATATATATATATTATATATATTATTTTAAGTCTAGTTTCCCTTTTGTCTGTGATCAAATTAAAGAGTGTTGTTAGGCCCGTAAGATTCCACTATGGATCCAGTTTTGATAATTCAAACCATATAATGTGTAGAACTCATCGAGTACTATATGTCTATAAAAAAATCACGTTGATCGGATATTAATAGTTACGTGATCAAATCAGTTTTGTATAAAAAAAAAATAGACGGTGAAAAAATAAAAGATTGATAGAAATCTGATCCGATGAGATAGCTATCGATATCCGATCGATGTGATTTTTTATAGACATATAGTAATCAACAAATTCTACATATTGAACGATTCGGATTATCGAACAAGACTAGTGATGTACCCCACGGACCCAACAGCATCCTCTAGTCCGATCACGAATTGGAGAAAAGCCAAACCCTTTATTTTAACTTGATCAAGAATTTTTTACTCAGAGCATCTCCAATTGTTCATCAAATATTTTTCATTAAATTTGAATAAAAATTTAAGTAAAAGTTTAGGGGTTGTTTGGGGTGTCCTAAATAAGTACACTTTTTATCTTTTTGGACTAAAAAATTGAGGTTGAAAATATGGATGTTTGGGTTAACTTTGACTTTTTATGGAAAAATGTGTAATAAAAAATTATAAAAATTTGATTTGCAGGAGAAAATTAGAATTGGGAGTTGTGCAGCCGTAATAGGGAAAAATTCGAATTGGGAGTTGTGCAGCCGTAATTGTTGACTTTTGGTGAATAGTGTTAACTTTTTAACTTTTTGAGTAATTTTTGACTTTTTAACTTTTTTACAAGTTCTCAAACTTGGCTTAATCTAATATGATGCATTCTAATCCTTTCAACAAATCTAGCAAGTCGTCCTTCTAAAGTAAATTTTTATCAAATTCATCCTAAAATCGGTTGTCTGAGAGGATGTCCAACCTAACAATTACCTACAAATTTGATGAAGGAATAAATGCTCCTTTCATTTGATGAAAAAAGCACTGATTCCTACATTTGAAACCAAACTGATGAAATGATTGAAGCACTATTTTCATCAAATTTAAATTTGATAAAAGATCGGATGAAGGATTGAAGAGGGTCTAACAAATAATAATTTGGATCCTTAAATTGTCACATCAAAAAGAAAAAAATTAAAATTATTTATACATATTATTTATATGATTTTTTAATTAAAAAATTGTTAGTTTTTTTTTATAAATATTTATTATTATTATTCAGTGTGTTTGGGTTGAATTTCCTGAATTAATTTTTTTGAAAACTGGAGTTTTTTGGTTTTCGTGTTTTTTTATTTTTAGTGAATATTTTTAAAATTGTAAATATTTTTTTTTTTACTTTTTTAGATGCACTTTACTTAAATATATCTAAAAGGTAAAAAAAATGTGAAAAAATATTTAAAAAGATTAATAAATACATAAAAATACAAAAAATATACTGAATTCTTGTATTTTTGGTATTTAGTGAATTTAAAAAAAATTCACAAATTTTTTACTTTTTAGGTATATTTATGTTAGATATGTCTAAAAATTAAAAATATAAAAAAATTAGATAAAAACAAAAAAATACGAAAAATAAAAAAGTAGAATTTTCTGAAAAGTGTTTTTGGAAAACTCTAAACAAACATAGTAATCATTTCTTTTGACAATGGAATTTCAAATTTTTTTCATTTTTTCGACATTCAACTTTTGAATGTGTTTATTTGAGTTGTGTGTGATGTCAATAATAGTAATTTCACTTGGGAATAAAATTGTAATAAAAACAATTATCATTAAGTGTGCACATAGTGGATTGGGTGTGTGCAAATAGAAGCTTCCGTGAAGTTGAGGGTTTTTTTTTTAAATAAAAAAAATTAGAAAATTAAGATTCTGATATTAGAACTCCCACAAGGCTTGTGGGTAAGAAACCCCTTTTTCCTTATATGATATGTAGATATATATATGACATAATAGCATTTTAGCCTCTGTCTTTTAAAAATAGCCATATATCCCCATATAGATGGA